AGGGCCGTTGCGCGCACGTCCCTCCCGCCCAGGGGCGCCCCATCAGGCCTGTTCCCGGCCTCCCAGGGTTCTCTGCCTCCTGGATCCTGGGCTCTCTGGTCTCACTCCGGCTAGTTGCCCTTCCTCCTTCCCAATTAGCCATCTTCCCTGCGACTGGGCTCCGTCCGGGCGGCAGGGCCAGTTGCTTTGGGGATGGGGGGACCTCCGCCGCCCCTACCTTAGGCGGCCCGACGGCTGCGCCCCGCTCCGCCCCCGCCCGGCCGCCCGCCACCCCGGGACCGGGACCGGAGTCATTTGTCTCTGCCCGGCGCGGGCTGGGGTTTGTCCGGCTCCGATGCCAACGGGGAGAGCGTGCGGAAGACAAAGTAAGTGTCCCCCGCCCCCTGCGCGCGGGCCAGTCCCCAGACAGCCCGGAGCGAGGCCAGGAAGCGGCTGGCTGGAGCCCACCCTCGGCGACCGGCCTCCCAGGCTCTTGCTCCCCGGGCCCTCCTGGCCCCGGGCCTCCCTCCTCCGCTTGGAGCGGGCCATGGCCAGCCCCAGCCCCAGCCCGGCGCAGCGAAGCGGTCCTCCAAATGTGGGTCCTCCAACATGTGGGTCCTCCAAAATGTGGGTCGCCCCGCTCTTCAGGATGGTTCCTGGCGGAAACTGGCTGCAGAGCTGGTGTTGGCTTCGCGTGAATGAAGGCTTCCCGCCCGCCCACCGCCTCCTGGCCCCAGCACAGCGAGCCCAGGGCCCGGTGGCGGAGAGGGTGGTGTGGAGGGTAGTGTGTGAGTGGGGGTGGGAGTGTGGCAGAGGCAGGCCGGGGTGGGTACCTAGGAACCATCCAAGGGTTTGGATGCTGAGGGCTCCCAGTTTCCCCCTCCTGAGCGGTGCGGGCATTGGGGGGATGCGGCCCAACTTGCCTGTGTTCTCTAAGGGGCAGCGCCTGCCTGGCCAGCAGGGCCTCCTGGCCTGGGGGGCCAGACTGGAATCTAGGGGTTGGGGACGGATGCTGGACCTGCAGAGGCCCGCGTGGCGCAGGGGGGAGCCGACTCCTAGGCATGGCACCAGCACCCTGTTCCCTGGGCAGTTGGGCCTAAGCCATCGGGCTTAGCACTGGGGAGGGAAAGTTGGCCAGAGTGGTGGACCCAGCGCTAGGTGTCTAGAGACAGAGATCAAGGGTTGCCATTAAAAGTGCAGGCCGCAAAAGAAAGGAGAAGGCCTGTGCAGAGCTAGAGAGAAAAGGGGAGACCAGGGACATAAGGAAACACATTCATATTCAAGCCCAGCAAAAAAGATCCCTTGATTTTTAAAATAACAAATCTCAGAGATTATGAAAGACGGGTGACCTTTGACTAAATGATATGTGAACATAATTGGGAGTAGGGGGAGAAGGGACAATCTGAGTGCATTCCAGACAAAATGTCAGCGAGAAGCAAGCTGAGAGATAATGCCCCCACCCCATGGGAACTCTGTGCTGGGCGCTACTGCAGCAAACTATCCGGTAATGCACAGAAACGCATTTTGGGTCAAATTAATTTTTTTAAAAAGTAACTGAAACAGATTTTTTTTCTTGAGTATGATTTTGTTTTTAAAACGTTTGGAAATAAACCACTCGAGGAATACGAAACGAAACCAAACAAAACTTGTAGAGTCATCATTTATTTACTGTCTAAAAGAAACAGAAAATCCTAATTAAGGGCAAAAAAGTTATTTAAAATTTCTTATTGTCAAAATTAAATATGCTGGAAATAATTGCTTACTTGGATTGATATAAGATCAATACAAAAAACTGTGCAGTTTCTATATAAAAGCTTATGCAATTCAAAACATAAAAGCCTTTATTAAGGACAAAACTCTAGAGGGGGGAAATAAAAAATACACCGGACATATATCACAAAACTTCTTAAAATTCTCATTTAAATCGAAAGATATTTGTAAAATGCGTTACTAAACATAAGTCTACATTCAAAATACATTTCTGTTAGTAATTCGTATTATTCAACATTTCCCTTTATGCTAAATGTAATTTTAATATAGTTGGGAGTTCTTTCCTCCCCAAATGATATAAAAAATGGACAAGAAAAAGCAGTAGGTTTGCTTTTAATAAAGAGGAAGCAGTGAATTTAAAAGGGTGCGGAATCTGAAAACAAACCAGCCACAATGTACATAATTGTACATAATTGTATACTTTATTTAAATCGCCCTTCTCGGGGGTTTAATAATTTAAAATCAATAGCTCCCTTCAAAACATAATAAAATATTTACACTTTATAAAATATTAACCGATTAACAATAAGGCTGCGCGTTGTTTATAAAAGTGTAACTGAAGTCCTGTAATCATGCTGTTGACATAAGCCTGTGGGGTTAGGGAAGTGATCCTTCGCAAAATGTAAATGATCTTCAAACAGTGGCGTTTATAAAATAGCTCATTAATGACTTAAGATCGAATCGCTCCAACCATTCGCATCATCAGATATAATAATAGTGACGAATCAGACAGGAAAGATCCTGGCTAAACCACTTGCGTTTCTTTTCCTCCCCAGAAGCACTGAAGACCTACTATCACCAATTCTTCCGAGTTCCTGGACCTTGATCCAGAGGCGGACCCCGCAGTTCAATACCCAGGTAAGGAAAGAAGCAGCATTATTGTCGCCCTGGGGATGTTAAATAGAAATGCGCCTTTCACCATTTTGAAAACAGGCTCAAACTCGGACCGTGGTGGTTGGGTTTTGCAACACCCCCTTCCCATGCCGCCAGGGTAGGATATATAAAGAAGAAAGTTTGTTGATCGGACTTACAGTTTGCTTCTTTGCAGCCCCCACACCCTCTCAGCTACCACCACGAGTAGATTTACTGGAGCCACGTTTTTTTTGTTGTTGTTGTTTTGTTTTGTTTTTTCCTCGCCGACGTGAACGGTGCGTTTTCTCTAACCGGTGCGTTTGGGGTGGGATTTAAGGAACAAAATAAAAAAAATGGGGAAAAGAAAGCGCTGCCTGGAACTCCCAGGGTGGCTTCCCCGCAGGTTTGCGGCTCAGCCGGCTTCCCATCCCAGCTTGGCTCCGGACGCCCCGGGAGTCGCCTCGCCTCGGGCTCCTTTGAAATGGGGTGGGCGGCGCCTGGGTGCGGGGTTCCACGGAATCTGGGCGCCTAGACTCCGGCCGGACAGGGGCAGCACGTCCACCGTCCTTGCTGCTCCAGATTCTCCCCCTACTTTTTTAGGGGATGGCCGTGCGCAAGCCATCCACCGGGTGGGTGGTGCGACGAGGGGACCTCCGCACGGCCCCGGACTAGGCTAGCCAGACTTCCCGGCGGTGGGTGCGCGGGTGCGGAGCCTTTCCCTCATCACCCGGAGAGCGTTTCTCGAAATCGAATTTAGTTTGGCCCTCTGGCGCCGCCGTACAGCCAGCACTTCTTAAGGGGGACCGGTGGCCTGGGCAGCTGGGTGCGGGGTGTCCTCGGGTCCTGGGGATGAGAGAGAGCCGAGGGGTGCTGGAGGGACGGAAGGTGCGGCCAGCTGATGGGGGTTGGGGGGGGGGTCTTCATCGGCTTCCAGGCCAGCGGGATCGCGTCCACGCATCCCGCCCCAAACCCGGCCCTCGAGTGTCAGCCGGCGCCCCGGGCACCTGGCGGGGGGCCGCGGCTGCTGCCCACGTGCTTTTCCTTAAGGAGGTTGCGCGCCCAAGCGGGACCTCAGGGACAAAAGCGCGGCCGGAGCCCTGCCGGCTCTGCGATCGTCCGTGCCACCTTAAATGAGCGCGGCGGCCGGAGCCGGGCTGCGGGAGGCTGCCGCCGCGGCGGGCGGCAAAAGTTTGGGGCAGAGTGACGGCTCCGCCGGACCCGCTGCAGACGCCCCCGCCCGGCCCCCCGGGAACCGAGAGGCCAGGTCCGCACCGCCCAGCGGCGCCCGCGCTCGCAGCCCAGGGCCCGAGCCGCTGGCGGACCCCGGAGTTCCAGCCCCGCAGCCGGGGGCACAGGCGGCCCCGTCGCCCTCGCTGCCACCTCGGCACGGCCTTTGGGGGGAGGCTCAGGCTGCACCGATCGAGATGTCGCCGGCGCTGCGAGCACCCCCGGGACTTCATCCAGGGATGCCCCCGGCGCTGCGCCCCCCACGCAGCTCTGTCTCCAGTGCCACCAGCGGCTCGGCCGGCAGTGCCAGCGCTCCTGCCACTCGGGACGCCCGCGCTATTGTTCTGGACCCGCGATCGTGCCGGCTCTGAGGGCGCAGCGGCCTTCCCTGCGCGCGGCGGGCCCGGCCGGCCGGCTCCGCGCTGCCGGGGAGCTCGCGGGCACCCAGAAAAGTTGCTCCGAGGGGCGGAGGCGGTGGGTGGTGGACGGAGGCGGTGGGTGGAGGAGGCGATAGCCTTCCTATCTCCAAAGTCGGAAGTGCTCGGCGCTGTGAGCAGGACCCGGAGCCTGGGCGGCCGTGGCCACCGCCGGCGGCGAGCCGGTCTGCGCCTCCGCGGGGAGACCCGGCCACCAGCGCCAGCCCGGCTGCGGCCGCCTCCGCGCCGGGACGAGTGCGCCTCGGGGCTGGGAGAGGCAGCCGCACCCCGGACCCGCCGCGAGGAGGAGGAGGAGGAGGAGGAGGAGGAGGAGGAGGAGGAGGAGGAGGAGGAGCAGCAGCAGCAGCAGCAGACCGCGGGCCCCAGCGCCCGGGAGCACCCGCCGCTCGCGCGGCACTCGGTTCTCAGTCCTCAGCCCCCGCCGCCCCGCGCGCGCGGTCCCCGCCGCCGGCTTTCCCACCGCCGCCTCTGCCCTTCCTCCTCCTCCTCCCTCTCCCTGGCCTCCCGCCTGCCTCCCGCCGGTCCCTCTACCTCCGCCGCAGCCCCACCGGCCGCCGCTGGGTCGCTCGGCTCCCGGCGATTGATTGATTGATGTTTAATTTCCTGCCAGGCGGGGCCCCCCTCCCCCGGCTACCTCCCCGGCCCTCCTCCCCGCCCCCCACTCCCCGCGCTCGCCGCGGAGGACCCCTCTGGCTCGGGATTAGATCTTTCCCCCCTCCCAGCCCCCATCCCGAAGTCATCCCGAGACGTCCCCCGCCCCCGCCCCAAATTATTATTTGGAAGGCGCTGGATCTGGGGACGGAGAGGGGGAGGGGGAGAAATCGGAAACCGAGGACAACCCAAAAGGACTCACTTTGCCTGATGACTCAACGCAACTAATAAGCATCTCCCTCTCCGCGCGCCTGTCTCTCTCCGCGGCTGGTCCGAGAGTCTGGCTCCGGCGGCGGGCGGCGGCGGCCCGGAGCGGAGCGGCCGGAGGTGACAGCTCAGCGCGGGCGGCCGCCGCGGTCCCTCCCGCGCGGCGCGGCCCCGGCTCCCGGGGGCACCGGCCCCTCGCGGCTCGGGCCGCGGTCCTCGCGAGCGGGCAGCCCGGGGGAGCGGCAGCCCGGGCCGCCTCCGCCGCCTCCCGTCCTCGGCCCGCTCTCTCCGGGTCGGGTCTCCGTGCGGAGGTGCGAAGGGCTTCTCCTGCCTCTCCTCCCCTCCCCTCCCCGCCTCTGCGGCCCCCTCCCCCGCTAGCTCGGCGCCCCCCCGGAGGAGCCCTCCTCCCCTCCTCTCCTCCCCCTCCCCTTCCTTCCCCCCCAATCATCATCCTCATCATAACCGCCGGCTCCGCGCTAGAAGGCACCCTGACCCGGGGCCGAGGCGAGGGGCACGGGGGAGCGGAAGGAAGCCCGGGAGGGCACGGCGTGGCGGAGCCCCGGCAACTTTCCACCCTGGATTCGCTACTTCTGCTCCATGGACAGAGCGCCGGCCAGCCGCCCTGCAGGCAGACCGTGAGCAGTAAGTACCGGCCCGGCTCCCCGCCGCGCCCGCAGCTGCGGAGCCCCCGCCCGGCTCCGCGTCCCTTCCCGCCGCGCAGCCTCGGGGCCGGGGGAGCCGAGCGGGTGCGGGCGCAGCCTCTGGCCGCAGCCCCGGGGCTCCGTCCCTGCGCCCAGCCGGTCCCCCCTCACCGCCCCCGGCCACCCCCGCCGGGCAGAGCGGAGCCGGGCAGAGCGGTGTCTCCCGCGGCCGGAGCGCCCGAGAGAGGATGTCCGCCCGGCGCGCTCCGCGGGGCCGGCTCCGGCTCCAGCTTCTCCGGGGTGTCGCGACCCTGTGGTGCCATTTCATCAGGTGTCTCTCCTCCTCCTCCTCCTCCTCCTCCTCCTCCTCCTCCTCCTCCGCTGTTCTTCTCCCCAAAAATCCAGGGGTGCCCATATCGGTGGGTTCCCTGCGGAGGGGAGCGCTGCCAGTCCAGCGACCCGGAGGAAAACTTTTTTTGGGAGAGATTTAGACGTGGGGGTTGATCAAGGCTAGTCCTGGCTGCACTCATAATTTAAAAGCTTTTAGTTTATTTTTTATTCTTATTTATTTTTGCTTTTGGATTTTATGCTGAAGAGCTTTTTTTAAAAAAATCACGTAGGATCGTATGAGGATTAGAAAGTTCCAACATAACCACCATCGTAGCCCTGCCCTTGGGAGGAAGGTGATTGGGTTATGGGTTACCTCCCCATGTTTCTGGCTGCTTCTGGTGGTGGAACTAGGGCTGATCTTGTGCAAAGTGTGTGCGCGCCTCTGACCTACGAGGAGGTCAAGGCAAAAGGCCGGACCGGGGCTCCCGCAGCCAGGCCTCCGGCTCCTGCCCGCTAGGAGCTGCGCCGTCACCCCGGGGTTCCTTCGGTTTCCCATAGACGTGTGCGCACCCCATCCCCCAGCGAGCGGGGGGCGCCTGTGTGTGAAGTTCCCTTTTCCCACCACCCCAGACCCCGACGGCGAGGCCCCGCACCCGGGCGGGCGGGCACGGTGTGTGCCAACCGGTCTGCCCCGATGGGCCGGCCGCCGCTGCTCCTGGACGCGGGCCCCGCTGATGGACGGGATGAGCCCCGGGAAGCAGCGGCGGGGCGGGGGCGCGGCCCGCGGGGCGCAGCGGGGGCTCCGGGGCGCGGGGCGGGGAGGCTCAGGGCGGGCGGGCGGCGTGGGAGGAAGCCGGGGTGGCGGCGCCCCGCCACTGGCCTGAGCGTCTATCACGTGTGTGAGCGGTTCTCCCTCTTTTTCTCTCCCTCCCCGCCCCTCCCCCGCCCCCTCCCTAGGTCCCCGCGCGCTTTATTGCGACCCGCCGGCGGCCACTTCGTCTCCGAGCCGGAGCGGCATGGAGCGGCGGAGCGAGAGCCCGTGCCTGCGGGACAGCCCCGACCGGCGCAGCGGCAGCCCCGACGTCAAGGGGCCGCCCCCGGCCAAGGCGGCGCGGCTGGAGCAGAACGGCAGCCCCATGGGGGCCCGCGGGAGGCCCAACGGCGCCGTGGCCAAGGCCCTGGGAGGTAACGCCCGGCGCGGGGGGCGCGCAGGCGGCGGCGCGGGGCCGGGCCGGTGTCGGGGTTCAGGTGCATCGCGGGGCAGGACAGACGGTGTAGGGTTTCAGGAAGCGGATGCCCGGCCCCAGATAAGGGCCCGTTGGCCTCTCCTGGGTGAAGGGAAACTTCACCTCCAGTTCAGACTGGAGCGCGGCTTCCCCTGGGATGGCATGTATTGGGCACGTTGCCACTCACTGTGCGCCCGCCGAGGTGTTGGCAGGTTTATGTCACAGCCAGCTCGCTGCTTCTAGATTTTCCTAGAGAGCTTGGTGGGGAGTTCACTCGGTGGCCGGCCTCGAGGGGTCTGGTGTAGGGATGAAGTGCAGGTTCCTTGGCTCTGGGTGCAGGAGCGTTCCTTGCTCTGTCCAGGGCAGGAGCAGGAGCAGGAGCAGGAGGGTTGTCAGTTACCTTGCAGTCAGGACAGGGCTTGGCGATCCTGTAGGAGGCACAGCCCCGGTCTTCCCTGCCCCATTTCAAGTGTGAAATCAAGAACCAGGCATCTGTCAGGCCCTGAGCGGCTTCAAGGCTACTGTTTCCTATAGCGTTTGCAGTCCTATGCGTTTGTAACTTCATTAGGAATGATAGCACAATAGGTAACATAGCATTGTAGCCTTATTTCCTTTCCAGGAATTCAATAGTATTAAAAATGATCTTTTGTAGATGTGTTTTTATTTTTATTTTTTACTACTCAAACAGCTACTTTATTTTAAAGTGGTTAGGAAAAGTAATTTTCTAAAATAAAGATGTGCAAGGAATTGATACATTACTCAGATATTTTGAGGTTTATATGCCATTTGCCATTTTAAAAAAAATGCATATTTCTTCATGGTATGCAGTTTTATTGTGTTTGGGATAAAGGACTTTTAACTTTTTGGTTTCTAAAGTTTTTCTTTGTCCTAAGAATTTTCAGCAGTAGCCTATTTACAATAATATAATCCTTTATATTAGCTTGTTGTAATGTTACAAAACCCTGGCAAAACTTAGTGATAAGCTCCAACCCCATAGTATGTATTTTGAAGTAATTATTTAACATGTTCACTCCCCTTTAAAGAGTTAAATGCAGACATTTAATAAAGGAACAGGGTTTTGTTTTTACTTATTTTGCTATGATTGTCTTCATGGGAGACATTCAGGATGGTTTGCTTTAGATCCTTATATTAACCTCCCTGGAGAAGCACTCATTCTCACAATCTTTAAAGCTTTAAAAATATACATGGTAGCTCACACATCTTTCATTGTAGGGACTTGAAACATCCTTTACTGAAGCAAAAGAAAACTTGTAGCTCGGTGACCCACTTTTAAAAGTGGTATTTATTAATGTTCTGTTTTGAGCCTGGAGCAATAAGTTTTGAATTTTCATATCCTTTTTTAATATGTGCATGTACGAAAGAAAAATATATAGTAACTATGTTGGATGATATGATATTCGCTGATAATGAATAATGTTTGTCTGAAAAACTTAGAAATCCTTTGAGGATTTGTTCTCAAAGTGGCCTTATGCATAAAGAAAAAACATAGACTGGAAATTTTAGTTTCTTTCTGAAACTGAGAGACGTTTCTAAATATTTTTGAATATAATTGCTAACAATTGTGCTTCCCTAAAACAAACTTTATTTATATCATGTTGAACTGTGAAAAACACTGCCTAATTTTGATAACCAGGGCTATCTTTAGTGCAAGATAGTAGTTGCTTTTCATATTTTCTGAGACTATAATTCACATTTGACCACTTATTATAAATTTGATATAAAGTAAATTTATTAAATCCTAGTGATGAATAAATAGATTTGTTCCAACAAACTACTTTTGTCACTTTTTCTGAGCGTTAGCTTCATTTAGTAATAGCAAAGATCTTACTAGCTGCTTCCAAACTGAAAATAAAGATGACATTATTTTGTCTCAACAATTACCATTTATAACACTTAATAGTTAAGTGGTTTAAATAGTTTACACATGGTGGATTTTTAAAGATTTTTAAAAAAAGAAAAATTTTACTCTATATAGCATAAGTTGGAAAGATTTTAATTTAGAAAGCTTTAAAATGTAACAACTAGAACATAAAATCTCAATAATACAAAGTTTTCTTATTGAATGTTAATGATTATGTTAGGGATTTACATTTATATACAGTAGTTTCCAAATGTGCATTGAAATGTTAATAATTTCATTTTCTTGTAACTTTTAATCATGCACAGATTGGAGAAAAGCAAAGCTTTTAAAAATGCACATTCTAAATTTAAAAAATGTTTAAAATATATTTCTATTTAGCAGGTTTTCATACTTGAAAGACTTTATATTTTGGAACTTAGTGTAAATAAAAAGCAGATTATATTTCTATCCCCCTACCTCCTTTTGTTTAAATTTTCTTTATGAAGCAATATAGTAAGTGTAGACAACTACAAAAACACAGCTCTGCATTGCTATTACAATTTCCAGGTATATTACAGTCTTGTAAATGTTGAAAAGGTTGCTATAATAATGACTATAATAATATGTTTTAAAAATAGAGCTCAAAATTTGGGAGGATGTACTTGTTAATCTTTAGTGATGTTAGAGGGAGCCCCCCCTAAAAATAGCAGAAATTATTGTTAATTATTGTTAACTGTTCATTGATACAATGGCAGTTTATCTTACTGCTTTGATAAACAGTGCGTGGATAAATGTTTCTGAGTGCATTGGTTGCAATAGTAAATTTTTTTTTATTTTTTAATTTCTTTGCTATTCTACTTTTTGAAAGGGGGAAGCTTTTTGCTTTATTTTATTTTATTTATTTTAGTGTCTGGCTTTTAACTAGTTGAGGTGGTTGCCTTTTAACAGAGGACTGAAAAGTTCGTGTTTTGTTTTCAACGTGGTTAGCTTCAGAAGACTCTAAGAAAGGGGTCAGTTTTACTCTGTCTTTCCCACCCTTTCTAGGATGTGTTTGCTCTTATCTTAGCGGTGTTTTAAAGGACGCGTGCAATAAAATATACGTGCTCAGATGTGTATGACAGTCAGCTTTTATAGAAGGTCCTCAGGAAGTGGGGGGGAAACCTAGGCTAATATCTCTTTAAAAAACATATGAAGGCCAGGAGAGAGTTTAGAGCAGGCAAGAGCAGCGTGGTGTTGACAGCTTTATATCCCTGCTGGGTAACATTCACTTACCCGAACTGGCGTGCCTTGTCAGCTAGTAATTCACTCCATAAGGATTTGGAAAAAAGGATGATTAATGGCGGGGAGATTTATATTTGTAAAATTGGTGATTAGGACTTACAGATCTATTTGAAGATTTAGAAAAAGCAAAGAACACGTAGAAGATGACGAAAATAAGAATCAGATGATCCTTTCTCCCACCATTAGCATAAGTACCTCCAGTGCTCTGCTGCTTGTAACACTTCAGCCAGGCAGCAGCCCACAGCGTAAACTGAAAGTGATGCCAACCGAGTCCCCGGGCCAGGCGGGCTGCTCCCCCTGCGCGGGGCCACTGGCCAGTGGCGGCAGGAGCACTGATTGAGTGTGCCTCATTCATTGTTCACAGAAGCAGTTTCATTTCTTACTGTTTGGATTCAGGAGGAACTCCCAGACAGCCTCACTTAAACGGAGTGAACAGTGCCGGAGTCTGCCAGATGGTGTCTTTGCTGATAGGAGGCACGGAACACCAGCCATCTCTTTTGAGATTTTTCATGTTCCTGTGACTTCTGATGCTTGGAGTGGGGTTCGGTGTTCTAGATTTCAGGGGGAAATCTTTAAACACGGGGAATATCTTTTAGTGATTTTTTTTTTTTGGTGGGGGCGTGGGGAGGGAAGGGGGAAAGAAATCATTTTTCATGTCATTTAATTTTGCTAAAGAATTGTCTGTTGAAGCTATCTTAGGACTAGTTGACTGGACGTAGACCTATTCTTTCTGCTGTCAGGCAACCCTTTCAAGAATATAGCTGTCTTGTTGCAAGGAGACGAAAAATGATTATTCTCCACATACTGATGGCCTCATATGGGAGAGCAAATGTGATCGGTATTGGTGGCAGGTCTCCCTGAGCGGGAACATTGTCTGAGTGACTACATGGGGTCATTTCCTTTTCTGGTTGGGGATAGTCAGCATACTAGCAGTTGTAGAGACACATCTTTCTGTTTGAAAGGAGCACCGATATGAGAGGGTAGAGATATTGACGGATTGAAATGCATCAGATACTTAGAAACAGAGAGACGTGGTGTGGACATGGGAAATAGAGCAAATGTTACATTCGTTTTAACCAAGAATAGGTACTCGTGTGCTTGTAGGGAGGAGTCATTGCTTCCAAAGAGAAAAGATGGCGTTTCCCTCTCCCATTCCACTTTTTCTCTTCTTTTCTTTTCTTTTTTTTTTCTTTTTTCTTTTTTTTAGGGTGTAAGATCTTTGAGATAGAATGAACTCAGGGATGGGTCATCCAGCCATTGAGCCTCTCCTCTGTAGTTTTGCTGAGGTAGAAAAATAGCCCTTCTCGAAAATGTTTTTAGTCCTCGGCCTGTTATTAAAATAAAGATATACTTGGTTAAAAAAAAAAATCTATGCCTTGGAACGAACATACACATTAAACAGAACACAGGGTATCCGCCCCTCCGAGTCCCGAGCATAATTGGATGTTGCGAGTAATTTTGGAAGCCCTATGTTCCACCAGCAGAAACCCACTGGCCGTTATAGATTGAGGATCATCTGCAGGGAAGTTTGTGTGTGCGCGTGTGTATGTGTGTGTGTCTGTGTGTGTCTGCGTGTGTTGGAGCTGCGTGGCGGCCTGGAGGCATTCTGCTCTGTGATCCCCTCCGAAGGCAGCCAGCACCCCGTTCCCAGGGATGTGACCAGAATCAGCCTCCACACCTCCGGGTCCCCTGCTTCTTTGCTTTTTTTTCGACTCTGTCTGTGGGGAAGGAAACAGATCGATCATCATTTGTTAGGTCTTTTAAGAATATGAATGAGTTATTTTAAGAACATGGAAATCAGTTATATTCCAGGTAAT